CTTCTTCTTTTGATTTTGATTTTGTTTGTCTATTTCATTTAAACATGTGATACTTCTGCTTTGAAGATTTCTAAAACATTCTTTAATTTCTCCTTTCTTTCTTCTAATCATCAATATTGTTCTTTCATCTTTATATTTCAATGCCAGTTCAATAACTTTATCCATATCACATGTTTTTCTATCGATGATTTGTCGTATTTCTGTGGTGTCTTTCTTCATTTCATAACAACTCTCAATCACTTTCATAACAATACATCTCATATTTCTTTGAATGATTGGATTTGCTTCATTCATCATTATTCTTCCATACTCATAAATGATTTCATATGGTGTGTTTGGTTGAACTAAACAATATAATCCACAACTTGCAAAATATTTAACTCCAATATTCATTGTTTTCTTTATATCCATTTCATACATTTGTTTTGTGAATTTTTTAACTGTTTTCTCAATACTTTCTCGTTCTAATCCTTTTCGTATCCATCTTTCTATCTCATTCCATACATCTCCTTTTTGGATAATAACCATTGTCATTAACCCATCACGTGCTGTTTCATTTTCATTTAATCTCCGTAATATTTTCTTATTATTAACTGTGAATGCTGCTTTAACTATTTTATCTATTTTCCACTTCTTTCTTTAACACATTCTTTAATTCCTTCATTACACATTTCTTCATCTTCTTTATTCTAATCTTTTGATGTTAAAACATTAAATATAGCTTCTTTCATTCCTCGTTCTCCATATTTCATTCTAATCACTTCTCGTGCTGCACTTTCTTTAACTTCTGTGATTGGACTTTTCATTGTTTCTATTAATCCTTCAATAACTTCTTTCTTCTCTCCAATATCTCTCAACACATCTATTGTTTTGTCTTTACAAATAATAATGCTTCAATTAATGTCATTCCATATGTATTATTAAATACTATCTTAATTATTTCTTTATCATCTCCTTCTGCATTACATCTTTCTGCATTTGTGATAAGCATTTCAATATTGTTCTTCATGCTTTCTTCAATTAAACTTGTTGGTGTGATTCCATGTTTGAGAATGTTATGTGAAACAATGCGAAATGCTTCAATTGTCTTTTTCCCTAATGACCTATACATTGTGAAAATAGTAGAATATCTTGAATATTCAATACATATACTGATCACAGATGCAATATCTAATATATTTGAATAACATCCTATTATTCTTTCACTTATTGTACTATCTTTATTTTTCATCCCATCACAAATATTTCCCATGCA